ACCTAATTAAGGTCACTTCGCGCCTAGGTGCGAGGCGAGCTTGATTAGGTGCGATCGAAAAAATATTCCCGTACCCCTCGGAGCCTGACGTTCATCGTTTTGACTGACCTGGACGCATGTAGCTATAGCACTCAGAGGTGTTTGTTCCGCTTACCGTGGAATCGGGTGCCAATCCGTTCATCATAAATATCGTCTTTGATAAAGTCACCTCCAGCCAATCTTTCCACAAGCGCTGTCAGTTTAGGACAGCATTCGTTATGACTGTTTGATGTCCGGCGCTATAAACACGATGTCGTCTGCGAGGCTGAGGTGATGTAAGCAGCGGCCGGCAAGCTTCACACCAAATCTTCCCATTACAAATTAGACATGATGTTTTCAAAAGCGGCACTGAGAATTGGCGAAATAGTATCTCCCTGCAAAACTCCCCACTTCACACTGACAATGATTTCCTAATGATTGGCTATTAATCCGCTGCATGACAAAATCTTGGTAGTAAAGTTGGACCATCCGGGTGACGGAATTTCACCCCAATTTGCCAGGCGCTTTGCGGCATGCGGCAAACCTATTTTAAGTTGTCTCGCGGCTTCAAACTGCAATTACCGTACTCGTCCCGCCTTGCCGCCAATCGATAGGACGCAATATTTTCGTTGACTTTTTCTTTTTTGATGATTAATTTCAGTTAATTTTTCCTGTTTCTTTTTCGTTTTTATGTTTATTAGACTTGATTGTTTAGAACGACTCTTCCTATGTTATCGACGATAAAGACTGCATTGTAATTGAAGGGAGCAGCCAGCAAATTCAAATAATTAAAGGACTCCTTAACCCAAAAATTGTGCGCTCCACTATCTATCGCATCTCTGCGATACGCGACGGGTGCTGGGAGCGCGACAGAGTGTTCGGGGAGAAGATATCGGACCAGGACCATCCCATATGTATTGAGCAGAACACCCCGGTTGCACAAGGCTTCAATTACCCTTCTGTCTCGGCAGTATTAGAGGCCTTCTTCAAATCGATGTCTCGCGATATTACAATGGACCTTGTAACGTGTAACTTCTTGAACCCCTGGTCGTGAAGTTGTCGTAGAGCTCATGAACCATTTCTATGTATTGAGTAGGAACACACAGGTTGCCCAAAGCTTCTATCGTCGTTTGTCTGTACAGTACCAGAGGCGTTATTCAAATCAATGAACGTCAGACGTAACGGCATCTTGTATTCTCTCTATACTTTAGGAGTATTGTAGCAATATGTCCTCGACTTGCACACTTTGCTTTTCGAAGGCCCTTTGTGAAGAGCCCAGCCAGAGTGCTGGCGACAAATGACTCTTCAGATGTTCTGGTTCGATCCTATCGGGACCGGTCGCTTACAAATCTTCATCGACATGTTGGCATGTCGAATTTCGGAAGAAGGAACCGACGGAGCAATATATTTGTCTTGTCTAAGATGGCGGATGGGCAGGTAGAGGTGGCTGTCGAAAGATCCGAGTGAAGTCGTAAATGATCTTCTCCGTTGCCCTTCGAGATGCAGCAACTGTTCTGTCAAGACGAAGAAGTTAAGTCATCTTGGTCTTGTAAATGGCGAAGTTCCGGCGGGCTTCGCGAATGCTCTTTTTGGCCTCGGCGGTTTCGTCAATAACTGCTGCTCATCTCTGTTTCAGATCTTCCTTTATCGCTTCTCTTTATAGCTTTGCAAGTTCGGACTTCTGCTGATGATCGCCTACTATTCACGCTGGTGCATCAGCTCGAGAGTCTTTGAAAGAGATGTTTCTCCGCTACTTGTAGACTCTCGGGTGGCGCGCGATTCACGCGTGACCCCATTAGAGCTCTTTGCGCACGCAGCATCGTTTCAGTACTCTTCTGTTGAGATGGACCGAATAAGATCTGCAGTAGTCCACGGCTTCATGGTGAATTAGAGCAAATCTCTTTACTATGGCAATGGAGCCCCTTCGAGATTAAGGATTCGCTTCATAGGCCAACAATTTACTTGTCAAAGGTTCAAAATAAGAATTACCTCAAATATTTTATCCTAGAAAACGCAATCCTTTTGTAAACGTTCATAATTGGTCATTTTTTTACTTATGTTACTTATAAGTTCTTATTCTCTCATTATGATGGTAGGCATGATGTTATAGCGCTTCCCGTACGATGGCCTATATATTGACGCGCACCACATCCGTAGACTCTCTGCTTTCCTAGCACTATCGTGGAGATGATATCAACGAGCCGGTTGCATTTTTCATCGATGCTGTCGATAACGGAATGTTCCAGAAGGTCGCGAGGGGAGCGAAGTGGTCCCATTTAATAAATGATTTGATTCTTCGTTTCTTCAACTCCAAAACTCACTCTTCATGCATGAGAAACAGAATCTAGTGCAGAGAAGACGATAGTCCAACCCCTTGTAGAACTTCGGAGCAGCAGCGACGTCAGTCAGGCAAAACTTCTGATCATGTATGATGTGATCTATTTCAATACGGAACTGTTCAAAAGGTGACTTGACACGCGTATGCGAGGGCTTCTACAGCTGTAAGTGAATATTTACAGAGTGATCGAAAGTCGAAGCCGTAGCATTTTTTCTTCAGCTCCAGGGCCAATTTTCGCATTCAAAACAATGACGACGACCTTGAGAGAATGTGGTCCTCTCTGAAGAACCCTTCTAGTTCCAACGCACCAGCTCATCTTCTTCGTAGCATGATGTTGGCGATGCAAGCGTTCGAGCGTTGATACATAGATCGCCATCTTAGTCCTTCTCCTTTTGGGTCCTTTTGTGGCCCCAATATTTTAGCAGCCTCTCTCGAGCGGTCCTACCTAGCGCTTCTTCATTTGAGGCCCCCTCAGATTCAGAGGAATGAGGTGCATTTATATTACTGTTTTTGGCATATGGATACGAATAGGTTGTCAGGCCCCGACGTGGGAGCCGGGTTGATCCCGAATAGTTCCAGAGTGGAGAGCGACTTTGAGTTAGGAGGCGGCCCTAATCGCCTCCCGGATACTTCCCAGTCGCTCGAATGCTAGCTTTCGCTGAGTCGATGGGAACGATACTCGTACCAACTGCACCCGCAGATTCTCCACACACATATGCGTAGATACAACTACGAGATACAAAAGGTGTATCGACCCAGCACAGCAGAAACACGAAGTCTACCCCTGAATCCACGTACGTCTCTGGGCCAGTACCGGCGACTATTGGTCGGCCATTCACTCTCCTATGCGCCACCTGGGGACGCTCTGCGTAGATTCGTCGCTAACCGGCTGGGATCTTGCAGTGAGAGAGAACCCTTAGATCCGTAGAAATCAAAGTAATCAAATCTATTACATTGTGGCAGACACTTTCCCTCTTGTCCCGCCTGTAAACTAATCAGTCAACAGCGAATGACCTCACTTTTTTTTACATCTCATAAAAATTATTCCTGTAATCTTTGCAAAAATGGTGTCGGCGTCGGCACCAGCATCATGCCCTTGTTGAGACCGATTCATGTAAAACCCTAATCACAACAAAAATGGCTGTACTCACAAGTGAAAATAATATAAAAGCTAGGACGTCACCCCGGAAATAGGCGCCCAACCCTTGCCCCCACAGCCCGAGTTCCTTTACAGTATAGGGTTACAGAAAGCCTTGGCGAGAATGTTAAGTTTGAATGGGGCTCTGAACATCGAATCGTTTACTGGAAAGTCAAAAGAGAGGTTGCCAATTTCATGGAGAAAAGGATCACTCGATTCCTATACCTTTAGGAGCGAAGGATACAAGGTTTGAAGTCTTTGGGTGTTGATCAATCCCGTCTAAGGGATTCGTTCCCGCATTCGACTTCCATTGAGAATCGCAGTGGCGTACTGAAGGGTATGTGGTCTACGATCGTACACGAGCTCGAAAGTAATAAAAATCGTGAACGACAATCGCAGACCATCAACACCATCACTTCCCTGGAACAAAGGTGCTTAAGCGGTCTGCAGTTTGATACGACTGGGAACGAACGCGTCAGGGAGGTCTTGCAAACAGCTCCGGTCTAGAAGAATAGAGAAGAGAGAGCAAAGTTCGGGGTGGACACGAATCGAGAAGTTCAAAGAATTATCCGATTTTCACTAAGTGAAATTCGAGGCTCAAGGAATACAACCAAGCGGGGTTTCAAAAAGGTGGAGGCTGGACGTTGACAAGAAGGATGGCGCTGAAGGTGAAGTAGTGACAAAAGATGCTACTGATCGAAGGAAGTGGAGACAGCAGACAAGAACAACGGGTCCTGTCGTGGTGCGGGAAGGGGAAAAAGAACTATGCCCTCTCACATTTTTCGACGTATATAGCAAGTTGTGCTCAGATATATCTCTATTGAAGCTTTATACGATGCTACTAGTATTTCGTAGTCAACCGACTGTCTGTGACGGATTAATCCCTCACAAACTGTCGCTTCTACATAACTTTTCTTAAGGTGCTCCAATCAAAATGGAAGTAAGGTCAGCGGAAAGTTCTGCTCGTGAGGCATCCCGTTATATGATAAATTTTCGACTTTCTTCTTGCCGGATTTCTTGTCGATGCACGTGTGCGGTGTGCGATGTGCGATCGACGTGCGCGGTTCGATTCATGCGCGTGCAGGAAACGAACGATTTCCTAAGTAAGTACAGTACTCGCCGTAAGTACTCAAAAATTTACGATAATACCGCGAGTTCGCGTCTTTTTCGTCTTTTCTTTATAAATCGCTTCAAAATAAATTAATCTTGGAATAAAAATACCGTTGAACTCAGCTCATCGAGCTCTACTAGATGATACCCTGAATTGTTGAAAATGCTTTATTTTGGATTGCGCCATGCACTTGAGCTCCATCCGAAAAGGGATTGCATGTACATGGGGTGCACGCTTTAGTGCTTGTAGGGGCTGATTGGTCCCTGAAGATGATCTGTTCAGAATTTGCTTCGAATTGCGCCACGTACTCCACTTTACTCAGTACAATGTGAAAATGATTGTTGTTTTTGTCTAGTTTCCATCGTTCCTTTTTGGTTTGGAGGCTGTAGATATCTGCATCTACGGCCTCTGCACTCAACACTCCTCTTCACAGGTTCCATAGAGAATATGACATCAATATACGGCAACTAACGGAGTCGATTTTTTTGGCATTTTCTCATTTTTGGGGGAATTTTTCTACGGAATCTGAGGAAATGGTGTTGAGGCACTCCACTGTCGTAGACATCTCTTTGTTGTCTGCAAGGCTGTAATGGCACATCTTATCACAGATCAAAATTTCTCCCTTGGTATGGCCCCAAACTTTGAACTTCGTCAAGCCCAAATCATAAAACAACGTTTTTTCCCTTTCTGTTAACCTTTCTGCAGCTACGTTACACTCTTAGATTCCCCGTGAAAAATCCTATCGAATGATATATAGGTAAACCCGTGAAGAAAACCTCCATCCACAACCACTTTCTGTAGTAGGCCTGTCTCTGAGCGGTTTACTGCATACGCATGCGGCTGGGTACTGTAGCGGCGGGAATTTGGAAGCTTTCAAATGATAATTATTTGAATGGGGATTAGATCTGCTGATGGCGGGGTACTGAAGTGGCGAGAAGGAGGGTTGGATCGATTAATGTTTACTTTAGTGGGCGGTAAGATCTGACCATTTATCTGCAACTATCTTGACATGAATACCTTGTCCTATGTATAACGCGCCAATGTCTCTGTGTTTGTATGTGTGTGTTTGTGTGCGTAAGTGTATGTGTCCGACCGAAAATCCACACTCCCGTTTCCTGAAACCTGGAAAGTTCAAATTTCGTGGAAGCATGGGGAGGTGGCAGCATGAGAACGCCAATGGTATGTTGTAAGGCTTGACTCTGCTTACGGCGAGAGGGGGGCGGGGTTTGCGTGAAAAATGTTAACCTAGTCCGGCAGCCTTCAAATTTGGTAGGGGTCGAGGCAGCAGTATGTGAATGCTGGCGAGTGGTGGCAGGATTCGATTTCGCGCCGAAATCGTGTTTTAATGGAAATCCTACATCCTGATTTTAGGACCTAGAGCTTTTAAGTTTAGGTAGGAGTATAGGTGAACAGGATGGGAACACTAATGACTTGACTCCGCTCGCAGGAGGCGTAACGTACGCGAAGACTGCTGATTTGGATCTGGTGTGTTAAAATCTTACTATATATAAACAGCAAATGTCCGTTTGTACGTTTGTACGTTTGTCTGTTTGTCTGTTTGTCTGTAACACTGTCTTATATGGTGCCGTTTGGAAATCAACTGAAACACCTCGAAACGTTGGAGCAAGTGGGGAATGAGGTTGGAACAAGTGGGGAATGAGCCGGGCTCTTTGGGTACACGTGACCTTGGCTGGGCTCCGCCTACTAGGGGCGGGGCTTGCGCGAATAGTGTAGCTCACCGGAAATCTGCAACTCCTTTCCTCCTGAGCCTAGAGTATTCAAACTTGGCGAAAATGCAGGCGGCAAGATGGGAAAACTAATGGTAGGTGACAGGAGTAGACTCGCCCACTGGGGGCGGGGCTCCCTCAAAAGTAGTAAATTTGAGCGTGGGGCGTCAAAATATAGTAGAGAAGTGGGCGGCAAGATGGGAAAAGTGACGGTAAGTGATAGGTGTAGACTCCGCCCACTGGGGGCGGGGCTTCCTCAAAAATAGTAAATTTGGACCTGAGGCGTTACAATTCGGTAGAGAAGTAGGTGGCAAGATGGGAAAACCAATGGTAGGTGACTCCATCTACCGGGGGGCCGGGTTTGCGTGAAAGTAGCAAATATGGACCTACCTGTTGCGACATAAATTTCATCAAACAATATATTGGCCGACGAGATCGTCGATGCGTAGGCTATCAAATGCCCACTGCGACGGGTGCGGATAAATGTCATGGTGTAAATAAATTTCCTTCTCATCTCCAGTGAAATACAGGCATTCCACAATGGTTAGGGATGAACAAAAAATTAATGATTTCAAGGTCCCTCCATGACTTCTTGGATTGTCTCAGATCTATGGAGAAACGAATGCTATTGGTTGCCGAACGCAACTTGCTAGAAATATGCGCTCTCGATAAATGGTTTATGACGCTATTATTTTGGGTGGGAGAACGGTGCTGTCCATTTTTTGGAAGAGGGTGGTTACTATGTTGCTAAGACTATTACGCTCCAAGCTATCTTCGAAGAAATTCATTTATCGCAAGCCTTGAGACGCGCACGGTATCGTGCGCAGGACAACTGGTTTGTAAAGAATGCAGGCAGCAGATTCAAGTCACCGATGGTGAGTGGTAGAAAGTGACTGACTTGGATTCAGTCTTCGAAGGCGTAGTGACGGTGTGTGCGCGGATAGTGCGTGAAATGAGCTTGATTCGAGTGCAATTACGCGGTCAACCTGGAGTAAGAGGGAATGAACTATGATAATGGAACCCACAGAACTTGAACAAGACTTCGCTCATGGCGGGCAAGGCGCGCACGAAGTGTGTCTGTGCTTATGTTTTGCTGGAATCAATAGCTCCTGTTTTCTTGGACGAGGGCTTTCAAACCAGGAAGAGTGCAGGCGAAGGGTCAACTCTAACACAAGTAGGAGGAGAGCCCGACGTCAGCCGAGCGATCTGACTGTTACTACATAATCAAAGCCTAGAATAAAAGAGTGCAAAAGTACTTTGCTTCCTCAAAATGCACTTTCGAAAGAAGCTAGCAAATTGAATTGCACCTCCGAGAAGCAATAGCTAATTCTTGAAAAATTGTGTATGTTGTGTTTTACAGGCGAAAAGAAATTATGTCATGAAAGATATCAAATGATTCTAGGCTCTCCTCGATTATAGTGCTACTAGGCGGCTACGCACGCTATCGCGTGCGCTAGGGGCTATGACCGTGAGAGACGAAGGCACATGAGCTGATTTTCATTATAGACCTTCATCGGATTTATGAGTTTCCGCCTAAAGCCCGCCTCCTGTGGGCGGAGTCTGGTCCTGCCACCCACCATAGGTGTTCCCATCCTGTCGCCTATACTTTTACCAAGTTCGAACTTTCCAGATCCACGGAGACAGGATCCATGAGTTTCCGCTCAAATCCCGTCCCCTGTGGGCGGAGTCTGGTCCTGCCACCCACCATAAGTGTTCCCATCCTGTAGCCTGTACTCCTACCGAGTTTTAACTTTCTAGGTCAACGGGGCAGGAGTTATGAATTTTCGTAAATAAATTCAAGAAGGGATGTGAGCTTCGAGGCACGCTCCGCCCCTGGCTTTCACCAAACTGAGTTATAAATGTTTTCATGAAGCATTGCATTTTTGGAGAACGCCCCGCCCATCGCGGGTGGGTCTCCCCAGTTCGATCTAACTTACCAACGCACACCTCTAACCACCTTTAAACCCCACTTATGAAGCCGTCTTGTGACCGAATTTGAAATCATGGTCCTCAGTACAGCTCATTTCAATGCATGCCACGTCCACTACGGGCGGGGCTCCGCCAAGTCGATGTGTGCTTTATACTTCTCGGGACATGGCTTTATAGTGAGTAGGGTGTATGCGTCTTTCAGAAGGTTGGGAACGAAGGTTTCAGTCGGAACCCAGGATTCCCTGTGATGATATCTCCACAGATAACACCTCAGGTATTTGGGGACTCATTCTCGATGTTCGTAAACATGGAGTTGCAAAATCGAGGAAAATCAAAATTTCATCATATGGCTGGATTTCCCGTGAGTGAGACTACCCAGTGGTGCTCCATGCAAGATAGAGAGCTGGAAAGAAGTAGCAAGTACTTGAATAACTGAAAATTCGAACTGCTTTCAGCTGGAATTGTTGATTTTGCCGTGGAGGGTATCAACATTTATCCCTTTCAAAAAATGATAGCGAATCTTACAATCAAAGTGGAGGGCTTACGATGCTGTCATGTCCGCAAGTAACACTCTAGGTGCTGAGAGACTCAATCCGAATTTTTTCTATAAATGAAGGCCAAAAAAATTCAAGAGAATCGTAAACTTGTTACATGACGGAGTTCTTCTCGTGTACAGCTTTCCACTGATCTCAGTTTCAAATTAATTGTAGCACATCAAGAAATGTTAATGCAAAGTGACGGTTTGCGACGGATTACTCTGCCGCAAATATACCAGTCTGTCGCAAACCTTCGGTTGATCACGACTTGGTAGCAGTACTGTAGCTTCTGTAGCATATGTCATGAATTGATTTTTTACATCCGTCGTGGAATTTCAAAATGCAGTTTTTCTAGTAGAACCGGTATTGGTTCAACTGAGCCTGATCGAGAGCTCATCAGTCAAGTAATCAATCGGAGTAAGCTCAGAGATGAACAAGTGTAGGTGCGAGGTAACCTAATTTGAAATTGAGTTCTCTATGGAATTTCAGCCTAGACCAGGTGATGCCGACCCTCATGAATCTCGAAAAGCACATCTACTGATAGTGTAATGATATGTCGTTCTCAGTAAACAGACTGCCTAACCTGATGTAACCTTTTAAAACTTTCTTGGTCGATGTACACGAGAATCAGACCATACAGTCATACTTTCACTCGAATCTTATTAATAACTACAGACGAAAAGGCAACACTTTCCGGTGAGCCTCGAATATATTAGGTTGAGACATAAGTCCTCGGACAATGTGATAGTGATGTCTCGATGATGACCTGTGAGAGATCATAGCTCGGGAAAGAGGTGACAAAAATGGACGCGCGTGGCATCGTTAGCTGCGCTTGAGCGTGAGGAAGGAAATTGCCCTGTCGGCGCGGCAAACCATGTCATACAGCTTCAAAGCATGAGACACCCAACGACCGAGCTATCGCACCTTCCCGATTGACTTCAATCCACGAATAACTGTGGACTGACTCCCTAAGGGTGACTGCCAGTTCACGAGTAGTTTGATAAGGATCGGCTTCCACCTGGCTCCGCAGCACGTCCAAATCCAACTCCATTGAGCGTCCCGGACGGTCTTCATCTTTGATGGAATAATCGTCCGACGTGAACTTCGTGTGCCACTTGCAAGCTGTGCATCTAACAGGAGCAACCTTCTCGTAAATCTTCCTTCATACGTCTATCGATCTCCGTAGGTTACTGGCTAGATAAAGAAGGAAATAGGATGGTATTGCGGAGGTGAAGTTGCGACGGCTTTAAATCACGGGGCATGATTGCAGGAAAGGAAACAGTCAGGTGTGTTGTGTTCGCCAATCTCTTTCTAAATAATTGCTTGAGTCATTTCATGATTTACTCTTTTCTTATTTTATTTTTTTACAAAAATGCTACTATAACTCGAGTGACGAACTGAGTTCTTGCCAATTTCTTTTCTACTGTTCTCTTCACGACTTCCAATTCGAAAGTCTTTCCCTGTAGAATCAACGTGCCATCGGTGAGTGCATGTGCCGAATACTGTGGAAAAAAAAGTTTCTGTCGGACGGCTATCTTCAATTCATACAGGAAAACGTGTGCAATTTCTTACGAGTACACTCTCAACTGCAGGTGAATTTCAGAAGTATATAAGCGAGTGAAAATGCAGTTGGAGGGGGAGGGAGACACATATAAAAAATTTAGTATATCGAAGAATCAACACTTTGTTCCGTGTGTATACCAGTGACATGAATTTTTCAACTAACGTGGGAAGGATTTCAGGTCGCGGTGGTCCTTTAAGATGGGATGTATACCGACGTCACTGCTTCCATACACTGACCTCAAATTTGATCTCCAAATCTACGGAACGTTTGGGAACAAAGTTACGGGTCCGTTTCTCCAGGTGTCATGCCACGTTTTGCTTTTACAGGCTACCCGAGCAATAGTCAAACGTGCGACGGTGGCGAAGGTGGAAGGGCAGCGGACTGGTTGGCGTGACACGGAGGTTAGATTCGAGTCCTTGATGTATGCGTTGCTTTTTTCAAAGTGACCAAAACACTTGGAAGTCCCTTCTACGCATCATATAGACTTATGCGCATACACACCCTTCTACTCCATGCACTCAAGATGTTGTTACGAAATTCGTCAGCTCCATGCGCTTTCAAAACGAGGCGGCCGAATGACTCATCCGACAATAGCGCGTTTTGGATGAAGCATTGCTCTTTTTACAGGTAGGAGTGGTACACTTCAACTGAATTTTTATGAGGAAGTTATGTCAGAACAAAAGGGAGCATTTCATGTACAGATATCAAGTCTTTTCTTTCCTGTCTCGAACACAAAGTGTATGAAACAGAAAAGCTTCTCACAACGAGAGCAATGTATGAAAAGGGTTCACCACACCCGTAACCCTCACAGTTTCCGCCTAGTTCAGATGGGAACAGTATTGTACTGGAGCTCCGAAGTATCCCAAGTCCCTATCTAGGTACCCTGTTGCAAACCATGATTGAGGAAGGAATTTTCCAAATCCTTTTCATTTTTTTGTTCAAATCTAGATGCGCTAAACAAGAAGTACACTAGTGAGAAAAGGCGATTTACGGAGTTGCGGTTGCTTACGTGGAAGTCTAGATCATGAGCAATTACGAAAGAGACGATAACCTTATACATGGCTTTAAATGGCAAGGGAAATATACATCGAGGGGCCGAATTTGAGAAGCTGCGCCAGGTGGAAAATTGAACACTTTCACCGCATGTCAGTTATAATAGTAAAGCGCCTTGAATTGCTTCATGACCTTTGAATGAGCTCCATGTGTCGACAATCAGTAGGGTTGACGGCAAATTCGTTGATCCTACGCAACCTCATCATGTGGGTTAAGTGATCCTTATGTGCGGGTTTGAGACGCAGAAACAGCGAAGCTTTTGTACTCTTTCCTTCCGATCTCGAGCTGCACCCGTATATGGTCAGCGTACACGCATTTTTGATGCTCCTCAAATATGGAGAGTTGTAGGTAGACTATGTGATGCTCAGAAGGGTTTTGCAAGCGTTTAAGAAGTTTTTTTTTATAAAAGAAGCAAAACAAGCACATGCATCAATGAATCCATGCCTAACGCCTACCAGTCCGTCATCCTCCCAACTGTGCCATCGCTACACGCAAGCACCGCTTGCTTCTCGTGTGAAAGCAACAAAGTGGCATGACCGGAGAAACTGGGCCAGTAACTTTGTTCTCGGAATCGTTTCGCAGATTTGGAGCCCGGATTTGAGATCAGCGTTTAAAAGCACTTATATGAGTATACATCTCATTTTGAATAGCCTTTACGACCTAGTATCCTTCCCTTGTAACCCTTAGGAGGGGAGGAGCTCCCGCGTGGGCGACCTTTCAAATTCCTAGCTCGAGGTTATCATCTCATTTGACCGGATGCTCCTACCCTCCTACGGGTTATTTAAAAACCACATCATCTCGGCTAAAAGTGCACAATAGCGCACAGGTGGCCGATGCCCATACTCCTCTCTGTTTCCGATATAGTGCTATCATTACAAGGATTAACACGTAACACTTGTCAATTTCTTGTCATACCAACACTGTTATGCGTGCCTTTCCTCCTCCCTCCTTCCTCCCCTACATTTTCACCTATCCCTTAAAGGAGAATTAACAACCCCGCAAACATTAATACTGATTACTTCACAGGTATAACAAGAATCGATACACCGACTTCGATCTACGTCATAGCTCCAGCCATTTGATTCAAATTGCATGTGTGACAAAATGTGGTGGAGATCATGCCCCTTCTAGTAAGTTTATACAAAGTTCCCTCAACGTTTTCGGGGTCAATGAACTCGATATGGGGTCCGCCCTCGGCATGCGGTCCATTTCATTCTCATACAACCTCAATCAATAATATCGATTCACTAATGATCCACTCACCGAGTCAACCTTGAGTGGGTCGTTTGAGCGTATCCATGGTAGTAATCACAAAAATCTGCTTCCTGTTTCCAGTGTTCCATACAAAGCACAGCGGTATGAGTAAGAAATCATAATTGGTACCATTTTCTGAGGGATAGTCAGTGTTTCCGGAACCTATGCGTAACAGTAAAATCCATTGGCGGGCCTCCAACGAGGATCAAGGATTTAGTAGCCCTGCTTTTTCACGGATGGAATCAAAAATGAACTTTTTTCTCACAGTGCAAATTCAACTTGAGAAATTTTCATATGAAGGCTTCCAGCGTATTCCTTAGGGATTACTGAAATACATTGACAGGCATAACTTAGAATTGAAAAACACCGGGATACCTGAAAAGCCACAGTAGTAACACTAGAATAGTGCCATGCATGAAGCTGTTGCAAATTCTTTCAATCGGAAAGAACGTTCACCATATGTACTCATTTTTACACCAAATTGTCTATACAACTTCGTTATGACCTAATCATACATAGGTTATCATGTGCTAAGGTATTAGCTATGAGTTTTTGTCTCGGTGCTACTTTTCAAAAGGACAGAGTTCCTTGAGTTTGTAAGCTGGGAGGCTCACGTTCAACGAGCAACTAGATGGCGGAATCAAATGTCGTACGAATACTGTAGAGGTTTTGCTTCAAAATCATTTCTTTGCTCTTAACAATGTAATGATATATTGAGAAGAGGTGTAGCGATTAGGTGATGATGAATAACGCAAGCAATACTCGTAGACCTACAGTAGCGCTCAAAAGTCTTCGACTAAATGCTTGTTCAGTAGTACTTTTCAGTCGTAACTCCTTTCCTACTTGATGTAATCATGCGAAATTTCATTGTGTTGCATAGGCATATTGTGAATATTTGCCATTATCAACCTGTAATCTGATCATGTTCCAGATGTCCCGAAGGGCTTGAATTCAAAATCAACTGAAAATACGAATGATGGCCCTTCTGGAATTACTTTCCTTTTTTCCATGTCTAAAGTGTACGAACGCTAAGCCGAGCACAGCAGAGAAGAAAAACGTACACAAGGTGCGAATAACTGCAGAGGTCAATAACTTTGCTTTTAGCAAAATCTGCTACCACAACAAACACGTTGCTCTAGTTATGCGTATATTGCTGTTCCGCAGTCAAGTAGTGTGAGATGGTGTGAAATATACTTTAGCTGAACATATCAATTTCTCGAACTGAAGCCTTTTTGAAAGAACTGGTGTATAATAAAATTATACAACAGTTGTCAGTTGACCAAGAATACGGGACCGATTTTTTGAACAGCGACGTTCCGCCTTCGTAAAACACATATCCTTAGAAAGGTAAACGTGAAAGATCATATTGAGCGCTTGTCACCTTGCGAGTTGAAAAAGCGGCGTCTTATGAAGTTGGAAACAGTGACGAAAAAATGGAGGCGCGATAAGTGCGAATGAATGCAAATGACGGTTCAATGGACCTGCCTATGACCGACTTTCGCTCAATCTCGACATGGTCTAAAACCCCTGATGTAGGTTCTGATTCTCTTGATGACTTACGTTCCGGTCAGTCTGTCTTTTTCTGAGTCTGTGATGTCGGAAGCATGTTTGTAATTCACACACCAAAAGCGAGAATGCTGGCCTTGGAAAGGGTGGAGCTCTTGTCGACATCCTCAGCCGTGGGTTTTTTAGGGTATTTTATGTGTTTAAAAACCCAGAGGTCTGTCAAAGAGCTTGTGGACCCNCCCCCCCCCCCCCCCCTCACAAAGTCGAAATTACTGAATAAGGTCGCGAGAGGATCGGATGATTCCCAGTGGCTGCGCATTGAGCTTGATCTTTATATTCAGAGGGTTTATAGTTAGTGAAGATTAGCCCCCTCCCCTCAACGACCCAACGAGGGGATCAACTGTGTAGATCAGAGCCACACAGGTCCCGAATGATGCGTGTCCTCCAGTAAGCGCCACGCAATCGCAGTTTTGTTTATTTCAATGCTCTGCCGCGATCCTCAGTGCCAACGTTTCAAGATATCCTCTTAATAAAACAGTATCGTAACAGAGACCGTCATACCCTTATTTTCATGGCACGCCACGCATTTGAGCGAGGTTTCAACCGTTCTCACACTTCCCTGGGGAACAGCTTTTCAGGGGCAGGCGCGATTACAGAGCTCATGCCATCTGAAACGAAGGCTACACGATATAACACATTTATTCGGTTTTACTTTTGCGCATGTTCCATACATACAGGTCTTCGGCACCACGCTGGCTATCTATTACACCGTAGCTATTTTTCTGCCCAATCCAACGAGCTATCTCTCTCGGCTCCTTTCCATGAACGCCTTCATTCGGAACTGTACAGGCAGTTTTAAACATGTTCTTGACAATGTCAGTTCTGGTTTTTTTGTTGGATGGTTGCCTTGAATTGCAGTCTACGAGGATGTTACTTTTGCTAGGTTTCCGATACCAATGAGATCCTTAAGATACTGCATGAAGCCCGGCCAGAAGTGAGAAATGTTATCAAGTCATTTGACGTGACTTTATTATGCACAAACGTGCCAAGGGATAGTATAATGTGAGCGGTCCTGGAAATATCAATCAGACATTGCTAGTCTAGATTTGTACTGCATCAGGATCGATGGAATACTCTGAGCCCTTCGAGAGGACATACCTACGGAACAGCGGGTAGCAACGGCGCTGGCTATAGCGCTGATGGCCAAAGTCGAAAGACTCATCTTGGGATGAAAACCTATAATTCCTTGTCGGTATAGTGGCAACTCCACGGACCCTTTTTACTGAGGGTCTCTAGCTAGTTGGTGGCGTGACCTCAGGGATCAAATCGCGGATCAAACGTCACCGGTGCTTGCCTAGAGAAGCAAGTCTATTCGGGGGATGAGAAAGCTTTTCGTTCACCATAGTATAGCCTGGCTAGTCACCCGGTGTCTACCTAGTGCCTACGTCAAAGCCTGGCAAGGTACTCACTTGCTAGTACTCATACACCGAAAGCTTTAATATGAATGGACCCCGATTCCCGGAACCTTAGCTAGCTCCCAACACAGAAGCGTTCGGTGGACCGCTCTGGATAGTCTTCTCAAATATCGAGGAAGTAACAGGCTACCCAAAAAGAAGAGTCCTAATATGGCGATCTGTACTTTCGATTACGAACGCTTGCATCAGAAGCGTGTATCGAAGACCTGACGTCGCAAGTTGGGAAGATCAAGTGTAGGACCGGCCGCCTTCTGCATGGCGTTTACGAGACTGCAGAGGAATCATTTTTCAGAGCATGCAACAGCAGACGCAATGGCGGTCTAGGTGTCCCCGTTAGTACTCGCTCAGGCACAAATATCGACTCGCGCGAAAGCTGAACAACCGGAATCGGGCATTTGCGTTTGAAAAGATGTGACTCGACCCCAACTCTAACAATCTTCTTTGCCTACGCAGCAACATCGAGCAAGAAGGGCTGAACTTTTGAATGGATCTGGAAGAAACCTACATGGAGGAAGATGCTCACTCTAAAGGCATAGTTCACAATGGAAATGGTTTTCTGAACCTCTTTCCAGGATAACCCAGTAGCCTCCAAGGGTATTAGAAAGGACGGTGTCCAAAAACTCAAGAGCTAGGGAATAAAAGGAGCCTCATTTTCGGATCGGTCGGATGCCGCGCCCATCGGTCGATGATGTGTCAGACGAGGGTCGAGACGACACAGATTGCAGTATTCGTTCACACACAATCAGCTGATCGCTGAGTAATGAGATGATGTTTTTCTCCTGTTCTTCAATTCTCTGTTATTCTAACTGCTGCTGCGATTCTTAGTCCTCTACCTCAAGCGGATGGAAAAGAGGGGCAATTTTCGGTGGTAAGAATGTTTTTGTTAACTTGTGCTTATGAGTGAATGAATTTCAAAGAACATCTTTGCTCACTGTGAGCTATTCGCACCAGGACCAACACATGTTGTATAGCTCGTCCAAACACCCCTAACATTTCAATTTTTCGCTCTCGTTCTCGTCCAGTACCTTTTCAACGATTTTTCGAAGCCTTTTATCACTTGGAAACACCGATTCGAGCAATTTCTTCGCCTTCATCGCTCTATTATCCACTTTCTCGTTCATTTTTCGTCATAACCTGGATAACCTAAAACTGTCGTGATCTGCGCCATCGTTTTCATTGCTGGTGATTTGAGAGTGACTCTAGACGAACAGCTGAAGAGATACACATCGGAACTCAAGGAGAGGAATGGAGTGAGTATGTTAAAATCCTATCCGAGTATATCACCTAGACCACACTCTACATGATGATTCGCAGTTCCAGAAGACCTTTCAATTTTTTCGACTTTTTCAATAGCGATGGAATTGGTGGTCATCTGTCAGACAGCTCCACACTGTCACAAGACTCACTAAACAATTGCGATAGTTCAGGAAGCCGTTATCTCTGACGTTCATCTAACTGAAAAAGCCTTCGATACTCGGCAGAAGCGGTAACTAGAGTTTTGAGCAGACAGGGTGTTAAAACTCAATGTATAGGGATGCTTCGTGAGCTTCACAACAATTTCGAGACCAGAATTTCGCAATTCTTCAAGGAATTCATTGTCTACACATACACACATACACACATACACACATGCACACGCACGCAAACAC